GACCAACCCCAAGGCACATAATTGTCAGATTCACCAGGGTTGAAATGAAGGAGAAAATGCTAAGAGCAGCCAGACAGGAAGGTCTGGTTACCCACAAAGGGAAGCCCATCAGACTCACAGCTGATCTCTCAGCAGAAACCCTACGCCGGGCGCGGTGGCTCAAGCCTGTAATCCCAGCACTTTGGGAGGCCGAGGCGGGTGGATCACGAGGTCAAGAGATCGAGACCAGCCTGGTCAACATGGTGAAACCCCGTCTCTACTAAAAATACAAAAAATTAGCTGGGCATGGGGGCGTGTGCCTGTAATCCCAGCTACTCAGGAGGCTGAGGCAGGAGAATTGCCTGAACCCAGGAGGCGGAGGTTGCGGTGAGCTGAGATCGTGCCATTGCACTCCAGCCTGGGTTAACAAGAGCAAAACTCCATCTCAAAAAAAAAAAAAAAAAAAAAAAGAAACCCTACAAGCCAGAAGAGTGTGGTGGCCAATATTCAACATCCTTAAAGAAAAGAACTTTCAACCCAGAATTTCATATCTAGCCAAACTAAGCTTCATAAGTGAAGGAGAAATCAAATCTTTTACGAATAAGCAAGTACTCAGAGATTTCATCACCACCAGGCCTACTTTACAAGAGCTCCTGAAAGAGGCACTAAACATAGAAAGAACAACCAGTATTAGCCACTCCAAAAACATACAAAATGATAAAAAGCATCAACACAATGAAGAAACTGCATCAACTAACGGGCAAAACAGCCAGCTAGCATCAAAATGGCAGGGTCAAATTCACACATAACAATATTAACCCTAAATGTAAATGGCCTAAACACACCAATCAGAAGACACAGACTGGCAAATTGGATAAAAACCAAAACCCATTGGTGTGCTACATCCAGGAAACCCATCTCGCATGCAAGGATACACAGAGGCTCAAAATAAAGGAATGAAGGAAGATTTACCAAATAAATGAAGAGAAAAAAAAAAATCAGGAGTTGCAATTTTCATCTCTGATAAAATAGACTTTAAAGCAACAAACATCAAAAGAGACAAAGAAGGGCATTACATAGTGGTAAAAGGATAAATGCAACAAGAAGAGCTAATGATCCTAAATATATATGCACCCAATACAGGAGCACTGAGATACAAAAAGCAAATTCTTAACGACTTACAAAGAGACTTAGACTCCCACACAATAATAGTGAGAGACTTTAACACCCCATTGTCAATATTAGATGGATCAACCAGACAGAAAATTAACAAGGATATTCAGGACTTGAACTCAGACCTGGACCAAGCAAACCTAACAGACATTTATGGAACTTTCCACCCCAAATCCACAGAATATACATTCTTCTCAGCACCACATCACACCTACTCTAAAACTGACCACATAATTGGAAGTAAATCACTCCTCAGCAAATGCAAAAGAATGAAAATCATAACAAATAGTCTCTCAGACCACAGTGCAATCAAGTTAGAACTCAGAATTCAGAAACTAATTCAGAACTGCACAGTTTCATGGGAACTGAACAACTGGCTTTTGAATGTCAACTGGATAAACAATGAAATGAAGGCAGAAATAAACATGTTCTTGGAAACCAACAAGAATGAAGACACAACATACCAGAATCTTTGGCACACATTTAAAGCAGTGTCAAGAGGAAAATATATAGCCATAAATGCTCACATGACAAGCAAGGAAAGATCTAAAATTCATACCCTATCATCAAAATTGAAAGGGCTAGAGGAACAAGATCAAAAAAACTCAAAACCTAGCAGAAGACAAGAAATAGCTAAGATCAGAGCAGAACTGAAGGAGATAGAGACACAAAAAGCCCTTCAAAACATCAATAAATCCAGAAGCTGGTTTTTCGAAGAGATCAACAAAATAGACAGACCACTAGCCAGATTAATGAAAAAGAAAAGAGAGAATAATCAAATAGATGCAATAAAAACGATAAAGGGGCTATGACCAGATTCCACAGAAATACAAACTACCATCAGAGATTATTACAAACAACTCTATGCACAAAAACTAGTAAACCTGGAAGAAATGGATAAATTCCTGGACACCTGCATCCTCCAAAGCTTAAACCAGGAAAAAGTTGAAACCCTAAACAGACCCATAACAAGGTCTTAAGTTGAGGCAGCAATTAAGAGCCTACCTCTTAAAAAAAGCCCAGGTCCAGATGGATTCACAGCCAAATTTGACCAGACATATGAAGAGGAGCTGGTACCATTCCTTCTGAAACTATTCTAAACAATACAAAAAGAAGGAATCCTTCCCAAATCATTTTATGAGACAAACATCATTCTGATACCAAAACCTGGCATAGACTCAGCAAGAAAAGAAAACTTCAGGCCAATATCTCTGATGAACAGAGATGAAAAATCTTCAATCAAATAATGGCAAACCGATTGCAGCAGCACATGAAAAAGCTTATCCACCATGATTAAGTAGGCTTCATCCCAGGGATGCAAGGCTGGTTCAACATACACAAGTCTGTTAATGTAATTCACCACATAAACAGAACCAAAGACAAAAACAACATGATTATCTCAATTGATGCATGGAAGGCCTTTGACAAAATTCAACAGCCCTTTATGCTAAAAACCCTGAATAAACTAGGTATTGACAGAATGTATCTCAAAATAATAAAAGCTATTTATGGCAAACCAACAGCCAATATCATACTGAATGGGCAAAAACAGGAAGCACTCCCTTTGAAATCTGGCACTGAACAAGGATGCCCTCTCTCCCCACTCCTATTCAATATAGTATTGGAAGTTCTAGCCAGAGCAATCAGGCAAGAAAAAGAAATAAAGGGTATTTAATTAGGAAAGGAGGAAGTCAAATTGTCTCTATTTGCAGATGACATGATTGTATATCTAGAAGACTCCATCATCTCAGCCCCAAATCTCCTGAAACTGATAAGCAACTTCAGCGAAGTCTCAGGATACAAAATCAGTGTGCAAAAATCACAAGCATTCCTATACACCAATAACAGACTTAAAGAGAGCCAAATCAAGAACGAACTGCCATTCACAATTGCTACAAAGAGAATAAAATATTTAGGAATACAACTAACAACGAACGTAAAGGACCTCTTCAAGGAGAACTACAAACCACTGCTCAATGAAATAAGAGAGGACACAAACAGATGGAGAAACATTCCATGTTCATGGTTAGGAAGAATAATTATCGTGAAAATGGCCACACTGTCCAAAGTAATCTATAGATTCAATGCTATCCCCATCAAGCTACCAATGACCTTCTTCACAGAACTGGAAAAAAACCACTTTTAGCTTCATATGGAATCACAAAAGACCCCGCATAGCCAAGACAATCCTAAGCAAAAAGAACAAAGCTGTAGGCATCACACTGCCAGACTTCAAACTATACTACAAGGCTGCAGTAATCAAAACAGCATGGTACTGGTACCAAAACAGAGACATAGACCAATGGAACAGAACAGAGACCCCAGAAGAAACACCATACATCTACAACCATCTGATCTTTGACAAACGAAGCAAAAACAAGCAGCAAGAAAAGGACTCCATGTTTAATAAATGGTGTTGGGAAAACTGGCTAGCTATGTGCAGAAAGTGGAAACTGGACCCCTACCTGTCACCTTACACTAAAATTAACTCCAGATGGATCAAAGATTTAAACATAAAACCTAACACCATAAAAACACTAGAAGAAAACGTAGGTAAAACCATCCAGGACATAGGCATAGGCAAGGACTTCATGATTAAAACATGAAGCAATGGCCATAAAAGCAATGGCCAAAAGCAATGGCCATAAAAGCCAAGATAGACAAATGGGATCTAATCAAACTCCAGAGTTTCTGTACAGCAAAAGAAACCATCATTAGAATGAATTGGCAACCAACAGAATGGGAAAAAAAATTTTCAATATACCCATCTGACAAAGGGCTAATATCCAGAATCTACAAAGAACTAAAAAAGATATACAAGAAAAAAACAAACAACCCCATTCAAAAGTGGGCAAAGGATATGAACAGACACTTTTCAAAAGAAGATATATATGAGGCCAACAAATATTTTAAAAAATGCTCATCATCACTGGTCATTAGAGAAATACAAATCAAAACCACATTGAGATATCATCTCAAGCCAGTTAGAATGGTGATCATTAAAAAATGACAACAGACGCTGGAGAGGATGTGGAGAAATAGGAACACTCTTACACAGTTGGTGAGAGTGTAAATTAGTTCAACCATTGTGGAAGACAGTGTGGTGATTTCTCAAGGATCTAGAAACAGAAATTCTATTTTGCCTGGCAATCCCATTACTGGGTATATATCCAAAGAACTATAAATAGTTCTACTATAAGGACACATGCACATGTATTTTCATTGCAGCACTGTGTACAATAGCAAAGACCTGGAACCACCCCAAATACCTGGAACCACCCCAAATACCCATCAATGATAGACTGGACAAAGAAAATGTGGTACATATACACCATGGAATACTACGCAGGCACAAAAAACTATGAGTTCGTGTCCTTTTTCAGGACTTGGATGAATCTGGAAACCATCATTCTCATCAAACTGACACAAGAACAGAAAGTCAAACACCTTATCTTCTCACTCATAGGTGGGTGTTGAACAACAAGAACATGTGGACTCAGGGAGAGGAGCATCACACACTGGAGGCAGTTGTGGGGGTAGGGGAGAGACAGTGGGGTAGAGTGGGAAGGGATAACATGAGGAGAAATGCCAGATTATAGTATGCACCTAAAGTAAAATAAATTTTTAAAAAATAAGATAATGTAATATCAGCTTCATAAAAGTACTGCAAGAAATTCACATGATGATGTACATAAACACCTACCATAATACCCATAATGACACAGCCCACGCTCAGTCAAGATTAATGATCACCATTACTATCCCACCCACCCCTGCTGTTGAATCTTTTTTACTTTCATTGCTCCAAGTTGGTGGCTCAGACCTGACTGATCAGCCCTTTTTCTTGCAGGAAGTTTTGCTAAGCAGCTTGGTCAACCTGTTGTTTCCAAAACCTTGGGGTAAGTCCTGGATATTCAAGAGAGAGTAAGGGTTGGATCGCTTTCCTGCTGACTTGAGCAGGATAGGTCTGGGGAGTAAGTCTTCTTGGCTCTCCTTGGTTATATTAACCGAAGGGCATAGTGCAATGAGATGTGTCATTCACACGCAGCACCTCCTGACCTGGCTGCCTCTGTGACTGGCCCCTTTGACTGGCCCAGCCGCTAAATGCTAAGGAGGTGGGAGAGGTGGCCATAGTCTGCAGTGGACTCTAACAATCAAGGCAGTAGTCAGAAGATTGAAATAAGCAAACTTAGAAGAGGCGGGTAACAGCAGCTGCTGTAATGGACAAGCCTCAAATCACAGTGGCTCAACCCAATGAAAGTTTGTTTCTTGCTCAAGGAAAGTTCAATTCAGATATCCTGGAACAAGTGGAGCACCTTCCACATTATCTTCCAGGAGCCCAGGCTTCTTCCATTTTATAGCTTCATCTCCTAGGCCCTTGAGCCCCTGCTAGGCCTTCTGCATCTCACCACTAGAGTGGACGAGATTCTGTGTGGACCCTCACAGGAGGTTCTTATGAGTTGGCCCTGGAAGTGGCATACCGCTCTTCTGCTCATGGGCTCCTGGTCAAAACCCCAGCTTTCAGCCAGAGCTCGGTGGAATTCAGGCATACCTAACTGCAAGGCAGGCTAGTAAATGAAGTCTAGCTGTATGCCCAAGAGGTAGAGGAAATCAGTCTTGGTCCCACACATTTTTCCAGAGAGAACATGAGAAAGTTTCTGAGGCATAAAATTGGGAATGCTACCCTTTGATGGTTTCTGACCCCAACTTAGTGCCTTTGGGTGGGGTGGAAAGAAGAGGGTCCAATTTCTGCCTTGTCTGGGACTAGATTCTCTGCCAATGTCTTTACAGGGATAGATTTTCAGCTCCAGCAGTGGAGACCCGTCCTAGCATCTGGGGGGAGTGCCCACCAAAGTTTGCTACCAAGCTGGGCCGAGTTGTGGTCAAAGACGGACAGATGGGACGATTCTCCTGCAAGATCACTGGCCGGCCCCAACTGCAGGTCACCTGGCTCAAGGTGAGGTTTCTGTCTGCCCTGACCCTGATCCAGCTTGTCTGTTCTCATGCTGCTAGCAGACATACCTGAGACTGGGTAATTTGTAAAGGAAAGATGTTTAATGGACTCACAGTTCCACATGGCTGAGGAGGCCTCACAATCATGGCAAAAGGCAAATGAAGAGCAAAGTCATGCCTTATATGGTGGCAGGCAAGAGAGCATGTGAAAGGGAACTCCTTTATAAAACCATCAAATTATGTGAGATTTATTCACTATCATGGGAACAGCATGTGAAAACCTGCCCCATGATTCAATTACCTCCCACTGGGTCCCTCCCATGACATGTGGGAATTATGGGAGCTAGATTTCAAGATGAGATTTGGGTGAGGACACAACCAAACCACATCACAGCCTTATGGACCCTGCAAATTCAGGGTTAGAGCCTTCCAACTAGTAGGAGTCTTTCCATTCTGTTTCTGCTGTTTCAGGCGGTTCTCAGGGGTTCTCTGTACATTCGTTAGTGATACATGTTCCTGTCCCTATTACAACTCTCCCTCTGTTACTCAGATCACAGTGTTTTGACAATTCTCACAGTCACAAAATAGTGAAAAACTTCTGAGTCAAGACAAGCCTGGAAATCTCAAGAGAGTGGACTGTGAAGTTAGGGTACTAGGTGTCAAGCTACAGCTTCCTGGTTCATAAAGCCTGTGAAGCTGAACAAGTTATTTGGTTTCTTAAAACCCTGGTTCCCTTATCTGTGAGACAAAAATAATACTATCTAACTCAAAATATTGTTGGAGGCTCCATGTGGAAGAGATTTATAAACCATTCAGGGCTGGGGGAAGTGAAGTAGAAGTGGGAGGGGTGGGGGGCAGGGAAGCAGTGGCGTGGGGTTGGGGTGGGTGTTAAACAGGGCAGTGAGGATCTGTGGGGAACAGGTAGTCATGGCCAGGGAGAACAGGTTTTTCAGAGATGGAATCCCTGGGTCAAAGTGGGTGTTGACACCTTTTACCTGCTTCCTAACTGTCTTGAACTCCCCTCGGAAAAGACTAAAAGGAATAGCGAGGTAAGGAAAAACTGAAGTGAGGAATACAGCACTTCCTGCCTCAAACTCAGGCTCCTTTGAAACAGTTTCCAGGCATCTGCTCTAAGCAGGACAGAGCACCACACCACATCCATAGACCTCAGGTCAGGGTCCCTGAACTGTCCAAAGTCGGCTCTCTGAGCACATTGACAGAGCCCAGAGCAGAGGGCACTGCTGCCCAGGCCCTGGAGTCCGTCCCACCAGGATTGGCAGGAGGCGGGAGGACACAGCCAGAAGGTAAGCAGATTTGTGTGACCGAGTTACCCCATTGCCATCCACTGGGGAATGTTCCACTGCAGCCGAGTGCCCGTGTGTCTATGTCTGAGAAGAATGGGATGCAGGTTCTGGAAATCCATTGAGTCAACCAAGATGATACGGGAGTGTACACGTGCCTGGTGGTGAACGGGTCAGGGAAGGTCTCGATGTCAGCTGAGCTTTCCATCCAAGGTATCGGCCAATGGAGGGCCAGTGCAGAACGAACCCTCCCTGGTGCCACACCCTCCTAGAGTAGCTGCTTGTTCACTGCACCTGTGTACCACGTGACCCCTTCACACACCCAGGCAGTCCCCAGAGGCAGTTTTTTTTCCCTCAGAGTCTTGCTCTGTGGCCCAGGTTGGAGTGCAGTAGTGTGGCCTCAGCTCACTGCAACCTCTGCCTCCCAGATTCAAGCGATCCTCCTGCCTCAGCCTCCTGAGTAGCCGGGACTGTGGGCACGTGCCACCATGCCCAGCTAATTTTTGTGTTTTTGGTAGAGATGGGGTTTCATCATGTTGGCCAGGCTGACCTCAAGTTATCTGCCTGCCTTGGCCTCCCAAAGTGCTGGGAGCCACCACACCCAGCCACCAGGGGTGGGTCTTTGACAAGAAAGGGTGAGCAGGGGCAGCACAGACCTCGGGGCAGATGCCCTGTGCTTGGCTGCCATCTTCCCTGTGTTCTCGTACTTTCCCCACCATGTCCTCAGTGCTTTCTTCTCATCCGGACTCCCTTTTGTATCTGTGATTGCCAGCTGGAAGAATGAATGCTGCTAATATCTTGCCATCATCTCATATTTAAGCTTCCGAAAATTTACTCATAGTTTACTCTGCCCTTCAAGTCAGGTGATGCTTCAGTCTGACTCCCTCTATCCAGGGTTCCCGTTTTCCTTCACACCCAGACTGGACTTTCCAGCCTCCTTTTGACCCTGCCTCTTTCTCCTTGAGTCGTCAGCCCTGTCAGTTCCTCCTTGGAAGTCTGGTTGAACATGTCTCCCCCTTAGAGTTCCTCGGTTCCTCAAGTCCAGCCTGGGGAGGGAGTGTGGGGAAGGGGCTGCACTCACTTCACTGGAGCAGGAACCCGGGGCAGGAAGGGAAGTGGCTTTCAGTCCTTCATCCTTCTTTCTCCTCCTCTTTTCTTCTGATTTTTCTCTTCTGCATCTCCTTCTTCTCAGAAATGATCCCTCCTTGCTCTTGTTACTTTTTCTGGCCCAGGTATTTTTCACGATCTACAGAAAGAAATATATTTCAGAGTACATTGCAACCCAGAATGTGTATATGCAGGTAAACCCCCAAGTTTCAGGAAATCCTCCTGACTCGTACTATGTGCAGTGCATGTTAGTATTCTCTGTTTCGTTTGACATCATTAAAACAAGAAATCCTGGTATTGACCAGAGAACTTGACTTGGTCACTCAGTGCTGGATAAGGAGCTGCCACCAGGTACCCACAGCAATGGGTCAGGCACTCTCCCTGTACCTGCCCTGGCATTGAGTTAAAAACTGATCCCTCCTGTTGGATCTCATGACAAAATATATTGCCTGGGATTTGTTTCAAAATACTCAAAAGTAAATAAAACAAAAATGAATAGATAAGACTGGCAAAATGTTATCTCCTTAATCATGGTGATAGCTTTCAGGGTTTATTAAATTTTTCTATTATTGTATGTTTTGAAATTTACCATGATAAAAGTTGAAAAAGAATATAGCAGGAATATATATATATATATACACACACATATATATAAAAAATATATATAATATATATAAAATATATACTATATATATACATATATATAAAATATATATATAATATATACATATATATAAAAAATATATATGTATATATTATATATATATATAATGTTTTTTCTTGGAAGAACTGGAGAAAATTAAAAGTATGCTTCTCTGTACAATGATAAATTACAGCATTTGGGTTTGGAATTTTCAGTAGATGTTAGTTTGTCCATGGATTGGTTTTTGTTTCCTTCTGTTTAGTGAACAGAAACAGATTCCATGCCTTCAGGGTCCGCTGGCACCAGCCACTATTAAAAAGCCCAAGGGACAGCACCTGAAGCTTTGACAGTGTACTCCAGGGCTGGGGGGTGGGAGGGAATTTACAGGCCAAAGATGTTCAGCACCAGAGAAGCTGGAAGGAGCCGGCAGGGTGGGACCACGGTGATGGGGAAGTGCTTGGGGAGGGAGTGCTTGATGTGTACAGCATTCTACTAACAGTCTTTCCACTCTTTCCACTTTTTCCAGGTTTGGACAGTGCTAATAGGTAGGTCTAGGCTTTGTTATGTTTTCTATCATGAAATGTCCTGCAAGGAAAGAAGGGATGCTATTGAGAAATGCCCTGAATTTCTGAATCATCTTATGGGGCAGAAGAACTGGCTGTTTGGAGGGTGTTGTTTTTTTGTCTTGTTCTCCTATTGTAATATGACACACGGGTGTTGAGACTGGAAAACTCAGTGTCTCCACTTTTCTCAGTATCTACGCAGTCTCTTCCCTGGTTAGTGTCCTGACTGCTCTGAGAAGGCTGCCTTCCTCATTCCAGGGCAGAATTTGTTTACCCTTCTGGCCCAGACCCAGCAGGAACCTCTTTCCTAGCTTAGACAGAGCCACAAGAACACACGTTACCACTGGAAAACGTCTGTTCCAGGAGGGTGCTGATGAGAATAGAGGAGCAGGGAAGCCATTTTGGGAATTTGGTATTTGAGCTCAGACCTGTGCAGAGGAATGTTAGCTGGTGAAGCAAAGCTCAGAGAGTGTGCGCCAAACAGCAGGGATAGCGTGTACAAGCCGTGAACCAAGAGGCAGGACCATGGGGACCCAGAAGGACGCCAGTGTGACCGCAGCCTAGTGGGTGGCAGGACAGGGTCTTGTACGAGTCAGGAGCAGCTGGTGCTGGCATTTCTGTGGGCCATATTGTGGGGCTCAGTTTCATTCTTAATGTAGTGGGAAAACTGTTACAAAATCCTTGGGCTTGAAAAGACATGATTTATGTTTTCAAAAATCAACTATGGTTGCTGTATAGAAAATAGATTAGAGAGGGCAGAGTGGACATGGGACACCGGTGGTGGGGTTTGAAGTAGGAAGGCACCAGTGGAGAAGAGAAGTGTAGGGAAAGCAGGGCTCTGGGCAGGGCTGCAGGACAGGGATGTGTTGGGAATGACTACTTGTGCTCTGGCTTGGGAAAGGGTAAACTGCAGAGAAAGATGCTCTTACTTGCTCGTAAGCTGTGGGCTTTTGTGATCCCTGGAACCCGTGCTTGTGATGAGTCATGTTTGTGAGCAACCATATAATCATTCTATTCTCCCCTCTCCTCACCCTCCCCACCACACAGATCATTTGGGAGAGAAACAAAAGCCACCAATTCAGACATCAGGAGGGAGGTGACCAATACAATCTCAAAAGCATTGAAACTGGACAGTCTGGAGGCTGCAGCCAAGAGCAAGAACTGCTCCAGTCCCCAGAGAGGTGGCTCCCCAACCTGGGCCCCAAAACACCAGCCTCAGCCCCTGAGGGACTCGCCCATAATAGCCCCGCAGACCCCGTCCTTCAGAAAACTTCCAGCTCCATCACTCTGCAGGCCGCAAGCGTTCAGCCGGAACCAAAAGCACCAGTCCTGGGGGCCCTATCACCTTCTGGAGAAGAAAGGAAGAGGCCAGCTGTTCCCCATCCAGCCACCTTCCCTACCAGGCAGCCTGGCCTGGGAAGCCAAGACATCGTGAGCAAGGTTGCTACCAGGAGAATCCCCCTGGAGGGCCAGAGGGATGCAGCATTCCCAAAGCCAGGAGGTCAGGGAAAATCAAACTGTCAAGTTCAGGTGTGAAGGTGAGTAGAGCTAATTAGGGTCACCAGTTGCCAGAATGTAGCCCCTTGGTGGCCACTCCCTTCCTTCAGCACCCAGCTGGTCTGCACCTCCTATATCCACTCATCTTCTCCAAATAGCTCATCTAGAAAACCACCTTACAGAAGCCTTGGACTCACTGTAGAAATGTTCCTTTATTCTGGAGAGACCCCTAAGAGCAGCCCATTGTTTGCTACTGGATAAGAGTACTGGCCCTGGGCCCTAGTTCTTACCACCCTAGAAGAAACACCCTCATCATCGCCAGCATCAAAAAACAAACCTCACAGTCTTTTCCACTCTTTCTTCCCCTTGCCTGGCCGACCTGGAGACCCAGCCCATCACCCTGTATTCCTCCTCCCTGAGGCCCTGACTCTGTCTTGGAGATTTCGTCTTGCAGAGTGTGGTTGAGGGTGAGGATGTCCTTTCAGTTGATGTTGAAACTATTTCTTTGTTTGTTAGTTTTCCTTCTAACAGTAAGGCCCCTCTGCTGCAGGTCTGCTGGTATTTGCTGGAGGTCCACTCCAGACCCTGCTTGTCTGGTAATCACCAGCGGGGACCGCAGAACAGCAAAGATTGCTGTCTGTTTCTTCCTCTGGTAGCTTTGTCCCAGAAGGGTACTCACCAGATGCCAGCCAGAGCTCACCTGTATGAGGCATATGTTGGCCCCTACTAGGAGGTGTCTCCCAGTCAGGATACATGGGGGTCAGGGAGCCCCTTGAGGAGGAAGTCTGTCCCTTGTCAGAGTTCAAATGCTGTGCTGGGAGATCTACTGCTCTCTTCAGAGCTGTCAGGCAGGGACGTTTAAGTCTGCTGAAGCTGTACCCACAACTGCCCCTTTTCCCAGGTGCTCTGTCTCAGGAAGGTGAGGGCTTTATTTATAAGTCCCTGACAAGCTGCTGCCTTTTTTCAAAAGTGCCCCGCCCAGTGAGGAGGGAATCTAGTTACACAATCTGCCTGCAGAGGCCTTGCTGAGCTGCTGTGGGCTCCACCCAGTAGGAACTTCCTGGCAGCTTTGTTAAAACTGTGATGTTAAAATCACCTACTCGAGCCTCAGTGATGGCAGATGGCCCTCCCCCTATCAAGCTCAAACATCCCAGGTCGAGCTCTGACTGCTGTGTCAGCTGTGAGAATTTCAAGCCAGTGGAAATTAGTTTGGTAGTCTTTGTGGAAGTGGGACCCACCAAGCCAGATCACTTGGCTCCCTAGCTTCAGCCTCCTTTCCAGGGCAGTGAACAATTGTCTCACTGGCATTGCAGGTACCATTGGGGTATGGAAAAAAAAAAAAAAAAAAACTGCTGCAACTAGCTTGGTGCCTTCCCAAACAGCCGCCCAGTCTTGTGCTGGAAACCCACTGCCCTGGCGTTGTAGGCACCAGAGGGAATCTCCTGGTCTGTGGGTTGTGAAGACTATGGGAAAAACACAGCATCTGGGACAGAGTCCAGGGTACAGTCCTTAGTGGCTTACCTTGGCTAGAGTTTGGGCTTTCCGGGTAAGGCAACTCCCCATCCTGCTTTAGCTCACCCTTCTTGAGCTGCACCCACTGTCCAACCAGTCCCAATGAGATGAACCAGGTACGTTAGTTGGAAATGCGGAGATATCCCGCTTTCTACATCAATCTTGCTGGGTGCTGTGCCACGGAGCTGTTCCTATTCAGCCATCTTGCCAGCAATTCTATTATAATTTTCATTGGTAAACAATGATTGAGGAGACACTATGTGAGGAGTGTGGAAATGTTGCATTAGATAGCCCTGACCCACAGGAGTTTGCAACACGGTTAGAAACCATGAAAATACTAGATGTAAGTGGATCACAGCAGTATCAGGTCGTACATGCTGAATGACAGAGGAGTGGTCCCAACTGTACGTTTTGTATGAGAGCCAAGAGAAGAGAGAATCCTTAAGTGACTGAGCATCATTGAGGATCCAGCAGGAAGCAGATGGCTTACTCAAGAGAGTTTAACTACGGAAATATTTACCAGAGAATGGGCAGAGTTGAGTGAACCAATCAGTGGTGAACTTAGGGACTAGAAACTCTGGAAGCCGTTACCACCCCTAGACCTGAAAGGGAAAGGGAGGGAATGATGTTATTGGAGCCAAATGAGAATTGGTTCCATGGAAGACAGAGTGCTAGACAGTAGCTGAGGCTACGGAGGCAAAGCAAGAAGCTCAGTTTGGTCATATATTGGGAAATATATACCCAATGTATGACCACCTGCTGATACCGCCAACAGGCCAAATCCAACCAGCTACTAGAGAGCAAGGAAGCCCAGGGGATACAATTCTGGTGCGGACACCAGGCTAGAGAAGGGAGGCTAGAGAGTGGACCTAGTGAGACAAATGCAGACTAGCCCAGTACACAGGCTGGAGAGCTTGCAATGGGCCTTAAGAGAAAGGGAGGATACACTGGCATAGAAAAGGAAGGGGGAGATCATCTTAAGCAGAAGTAGACATGTGGATATAGGAAAGGGGAAATATTTTTTTTTCCAGTGAGGAGGCAATAAGTATACAGTGCATTTTCTTAAGAAGAGTAAGGCTTTAACATTCAGGAAGCTTGTAGGAATTGACATAGGTCAGAGTTTCTTTGTCACAGCACAACTGACATTTGGGGTAGGATAATTATTTGTTTGGGGGACTGTCCTCCCCTTTGTAGGATGTTTAGCAACAGCCCTGGCCCCTACCCTCTATATGCTAACAGCAGTCCACTCCCAGTTGTGATGATAAAAAAAAAAACGTCATCACACATTGCCAAATGTACCCTAGGGATGCAAAACTACCCCCAAGTTGAGAACTACCGGGAGGGGAAATGAAGGAGACCATGATCAGAAAATCATTGAAACACAAGGTGAATGTAAGATGCTATGGGCTTAGATCAGTGTGGAGCAGTGAGACTGGCAAGAAACAGACAAAGGCACGGGGCCTGTAGGTGAGAAGCAGATGGGCTGTGTGAGAAGAGGCAGAGAGGAGTGGCTAAGGGTGATTCTTAGGTTTGTAGTGAAATAACAGGGAGGAGGATGTCTCCACTGACAGCAATATGGGGCCACCCTTGGGGAAGATGATGTGCCCTTTGTGAGCTTGTTTGAATGAGATCCAGGACATTTGGACAAGGGACTGAGTTGAGCAGGGAGGTTAAGACTTTAGGTATAGATTTGAGTCATCCATGCAGAGAACTAGCTGGAAAACTTCTATCCATAGGAGGATAGAATGAATCTCCTGGACTTCCTTGCTCTCATAAGAATGAAGGGAAGACAGGGAGAAAACCAAGGACTGAAGTTTTTCTTTTTTTATTTTTCCTTTGGTAATGGTGGGGAGCAAGGGAGTGTTGTGCATTATTTAGAAGATGAATAACATGGAACAGAAATAGAAGGCTCAGGAGGCAGGAAAACCAAGCAGTTTTCTGAGGGTGAGAGTGGGCTGAAGTTCAGCTCCTACCCTACTTGTCAGGTCATATGCCCAAGGGGCTACATCTACCCCTGAGTAACCACCCTTTTCTAATGTATGCGAAGGTGCCAAATGGGCCAGGGCAGTCCAAAGGAGAATCAGAGCAGCCACAGAAGACACAGGTGTCAAGAAGGGAGAAATCTTGTCCACGCAACTCACCCCACCTGCCAGTGGTAAATATTCTCTTTTTTTTCCTCCAATCACTCAAGTCCTTAAAGAAATAGAATTTGATTGGGTAGACATTTTTACTTGTGTGGAATTTTGTGGTTTGTTCTTCTTAATTGAGTGGCTATAGGAGGTGTTGCTCGCCTAGGTTCTGGAAAAAGACTACACACAGAGGCCGCAGGAAGAGGAGGGAATCCACAACCACAATGAGTGGTTGTTCTTGTCACCTCACTGGTTCCAACTCTGAAGAGAGATGATGGACCTTCTCATCATTTTCTCTCACAAAGAGGCATATTGTTGTAGGCAGGATTCTAGGAACAGCCTCCAACATTTCCACCCCCTGGTGTACATGCCCTATGTATAAGCTCATCATCCCTGTTAAGTGTTAGTGAGACCTGTGAATATGAGGAGCAGTCACTCCTGTGATTAAGGTTATGTGGAGGCTGGGTGTGGTGGCTCATGCCTATATCCTAGCACTTTAGGAGGCCAAGGCAAGTGGATTACTTGCAGTCAGGAGGCACACAGGATAGAAAGAACTGACTTTCTGAGCTCATAGCTAGTATGAGGCAGTTGATATTTACTATAATGTTGACATGGTAGACAAGACAGTCAGGATTCTCACTCTGTGGTGCCAGACCTGTCATTATTAGGCCAAATAGAACTTCAGTCCCTAAGATACTGAACATGCAAAGCTGAAACGACACTGAAGTATCACTTTTCAGAAGGGCCTCTTGGAATAAGGAAGGAAGGGGAAGCAAAGTGGAAAGAGAGAAAACAAAAGAGAATTTAATTCAGTAAACAAATATTTATGGTGTCCACTATGTGCATAGTTCTGTTCTAGCTCCAGAATACAGCAGTGACTAAAACAACCAAAACCCCATGCCCTCCAGTGAAAAAATATAGAGAAATTAATAAAACAAAAATTTAAAAATACATAGTATGTAATGATTGTAAAGCAAGGGAGGCGTCGGAAGGGATATTGGTGTTCCACTTAAAAGAGTCAGATAAGACTCCCTCAGAAGGTCACATTTGGATACAAGCCAAAGGTGCTAAGGAGTGAACCATGTGGATATCTGAGGAAATCGTGTTCCAGGCAGAGGAAATGCAAGTGCAAGCCTTGAGGCGGGAGAGGGTCTGGCCTTTCTGAGGGATACTAAGATGGCCAGCATGGCTGGAGGGTAGTGAAGGAGAAAAGAGAAAATGATGTGTTCAGAGAGTTTAAGGGCTTGTGGGTTACTTTCACTTTTACTTGCATAAAGTGGGAGCCACTGAGAATTCTAAATAGAGGAATGACATGATCAGTCTTAGGTTTCCAAAAAAGTGATCAGGCAGCTGTGATGAGAACAGGTCACAGGAGGGAAAGGGCAGAAACAGGAGATGGGTTAGGAAGCCACTGCAATGGTCCAGGTGAGAGATGAGGTTTGCTTGGACCAAGGTGAAGGACGTGGAGAGAAGTGCTCTAATTCTGAATGACTTTCGGAGATACAGCCAATAGCATTTGCTCTGAGTGGATTTAAGGTGTGGGGGAAAAAGCAGTCAAGGATAATGCCAAGGTTTTTTAGCCTGAGCAACTGGAATTTACAGTTGGCATTTGCTGCTATGGGGAAGCCTGGATAAGCTGGTTTGGAGAGGAATCTTGGAGTGCAGTTGTCGGGTACTCAGCCTGAGAAGCCTATTAACATCCAGAGGGGCAGAGTAGACAGTGGATATTATATTGTGATGTTTAGGAAAGGATTAGGGCTGAAGACATAAATTTGATATTCAAAACATGAGACTGAATGAGATCAAAGAGACAGTGCATGTAGATAGAGAAGCCCAAGTGTAAATCCTGGGGTACTCCAAGATCAAAATGTCAGGGAGAGGAGGAAGAGCAAGCAAAAGAGACTGAGAAAGAAGAGCCAATGAGGAAGGAAAAAAAAAAAAACAAAAACAAGCATTCACGCTTGTCCTGGAATACAAGGAAAAACTGCTTCAAGCATGTGAAGTTGATCAACAGGGTCAAATGCTGCTCATAGGTTGAGCTGAGGCTAAGAGATGATGTTGGATTTAACAGAACGTCATTGGGGACCTTGACAAGTCATTTCAGTGGAGTGATGGGAATGAAAGCCTGGTTTAAATAGATTCAAAAGAGATTAGGAAGAGAGAAATTAGAGGTGGCAAGTATGGGCAATTCTTTTAAAGAACTTGGCAATAAAAGGAAGAAGAGAAATGGGTCAAAGCTGAAGAGGAAAATGATGGGAGAAATTAGAATATGTTTGTGTGTTGATGAGAATTACCTAGTAGAAAAAGGGAAATGATGAGAAAAGATATAGTCAATTTTCATTTGTACAAGAAAACAGCAGAAAACAATGTAACCTAATTGATAAAAGATTTTATATAATAAAAGATTTTATTATAATATTGAAGACAGATTGTTTTACTGAAATATAACAAACACCCATGAATCCACCATCCACCCCAAGAGCTAGACCACTACCACTAACATCTATGTGTTCCTCCCTCTCCTACTCTTACCTCTGTTTTAGAAGAAAGCAACTTTCCTGAATTGTGTTATTATCATTTCCCTGTAAAATTATATTATCTTGATTGTATCCTGTTATACTTATTGACTGATAGATCCAGAATAATCTAACCTATGCCTCTCAGCCTGGCCTCCTACAGACCGACATCAAACCACCTCAGTTAGACAGTGTCAGGAAATTCCTCCCTTGCATTTAACCTGCTACACTAACATTCTATTTTATTTCATCTTCCATCTCCAGCTGCTAGTGCTTTGTCCGAAAAACCCCTTCTTCTGCACAAAGATAATTATTATTCATTCTTGTCAGTATCATTTACTCTGCATAAAAGCAGGAACAGACTGACACACCTTCATCCCATGTGCATACCCAGAACAAACTCCAGTGGCCAGAGAATTCTTGTTATCCTGGAAGATGCACCTGCAGTCCTCAGGCCTCCAGCCTCCCCGTCCCATCCTAAGGCACACCTGTTGGTCAGGTGCCTACACCAATACCTGGCAGCCCCTCCACAGAGGCCTCAGAAATGCAGGTGATAGCCAGTGACTAGAATTCCTTCATCCCCAGATCTTGCCTGTGGACAGTGGTCATCCCCAGATCATCCAGGATTCTCCAGATATGCAAGGACTGCAGGATTTTGACAAATGCCAGCAGAGTGGCCTCTTTACAAATGAATGGCAGCAGGCTGTGAAAAGCTTTCTGCGTGCATAAACCAAAAATCTAGTTCCCCTACTTGTTCACTGATGCTTAAAATTGCTTTACGGAGAGACAAAGGC